GGAAGACCCTTGATCCTTGCAGTCTTTGGTCTCTGCGTCTGTGAAGTGTCTTTCTTCCACACCTCCAGCTCCGTCTCCATCTGTGACTCCTGAGCTGCTGTGGCCTCCTTCAGCCTAATGAGGCCAGCAGCTGTACCTCACACCGTTTGGCCAAACAAGTGGAAAACGGGAGTTGTCAAATGAGTTTTGAACTAATGAGAACTGGACGAAGCTTCAAATGTTGGCCCGTGCACTGTTGTGTTCTGTCTTTTACATAATTGCAAAGACGGATCAATGTTTGTGTAATCTGGAAAAAAAATCAATTCTATTAATCTTTTTATCGCCCTAAATCACAACAGCAGTTATTTCAAAAGACTTTCCTCAACAACAGATCACACAGGAGCCATTGGTCCAGAAGAGACAGAGACCAGTGTCCATAAATGTTGTTAAATGTTGTTAAGTATCCCGAATCGTCACAGTCCTTGGACCCTACTGTATCAGCAAGATATTAATCCAGTGGGAAAAAAGTGAGAAACCTTGGAGAGGCCTACATTGGGAGAGGGAACTGCTTCCATTGACAAACAGGCTGTAGAACCAGGACTGAGGCTGTAGACCCAGGACTAACGATGTAGACCCAGGACTGAGGCATTAGACTTAGGACTGTGGCGGTAGATCCAGGACAGAGGCTGTAGACCCAGGACTGAGGCTGTAGACCCAGGACTGAGGCATTAGACTTAGGACTGTGGCGGTAGATCCAGGACAGAGGCTGTAGACCCAGGACTGAGGCTGTAGATCCAGGACTGAGGCTGTAGACCCAGGACTGAAGCTGTAGATCCAGGACTGAGTTTGTAGATCCAGGACTGAGTTTGTAGATCCAGGACTGAGGCTGAAGACCCAGGACTGAGGCTGTAGACCCAGGACTGATGCTGTAGATCCAGGACTGAAACCTCTGTCCTCTGACAAATACAAAGCCTGAAACAGCCCAGGAAAACCATGAATGGGTTTAAAAACATCTGGTTTTGGAGATACACTGTTTGACAATCAGATAACCACAAACAGGATTACTTTCCACCAATTTCCACATATTAATTTTCATTCTTATCTTGGAAAAAAAAAGAGCTGCAGAGTTTCTCCAGTTCGTCGACCAGCGTCAAATGCAGCTATATTTACTGTACACTCGGCTTCACTCAAACATGTGAAACCGCAACCTCTTCAGATCAGTTTGTATAATAGTTCTGTGACACGTGTATGCACCAGCAGTGGCGTTGTGAACACATTTGCAGCGTTTGAGTACGTGTGTTCCTTATGGCGTATGTTTACCATATCTTTAGCAAGTGGACGGATGTGGAGGCTCAGTCTGTTAGAAAAACATCTGACAGACAACATCAATATAGCTGTTTCTCTGTTTGCATTTCAGTCATTAAACTGTGAAATACTGTATGTTTCCCTACAACTAATGGATTTAGCTAACATTGCCATTTTAGTACTGATCACACTAAAGTAAAGGTTTACAGAAGGATACACCTCCTCTTTGTGTAAATCTGCTGAGGAACTACACACCATGACAGACACTGCAAAAGTGATGAGAAATAAGTACAAAAAATGCTCAAATTTGGCAAAACATTTCTTAGTTTGAACACATTCTGCCTCAAAACAAGATTTGCCAATGGGACAGGCATTATCCTGGCTTTCTCTAGTCTCTCTCTGGTCTCTCTCACTCTGGTCTCTCTCTGGTCTCTCTCTGGTCTCTCTCTGATCTCTCTCTGATCTCTCTCTGGTATCTCTCTGGTCTCTCTCTCTCTCTCTCTGGTCTCTCTCTAGTCTCTCTCTAGTCTCTCTCTAGTCTCTCTCTAGTCTCTCTCTGGTCTCTCTCTGGTCTCTCTCTGGTCTCTCTCTGGTCTCTCTCTCTCTGGTCTCTCTCTAGTCTCTCTCTCTGGTCTCTCTCTCTCTCTCTCAGGTCTCTCTCTTTGGTTTCTCTCTGGTTCCAGTTCTCTGGTTCTCTTTTCCAATGGGACGAAGCAAAATTATCTTGTTTTAAAAAGCAACAGAAATGTCTCCTTTGGAATGAGGAAATAAAGCAACAGTTCTTGAAATAAGACTGACTGCTTTTCCAATTGGAGAATCTAGTTTGAACACAGAATGTGCTCAGATTAAGTATAATTATTACCTCATTTTCTATCATTTTTTGCAGCAAAGACTTTCCCCTCCAACTTCTGGGAAAGTCTTTGAAAATGTCACAAAATGAAAAACCTAGTTAACTCCTGTTTGGCTGCGTTTTCCCTGAACATGAAAACTTTCCTCCTCACTTTTCTCCCTCGTGCCTCCACCCAACACTTGTGGAAATGAGAGCTTCTCCCTGGAATCAACACGTCAAAAGTGGAGTTAGCCGTTTGTTCCTATGGTCAGAGGCTCTGGACAAACTGTGAATGCTGCTGTTGTGGCCCGGCTCTGTCCCGGCCTGTTATTCGGAAGTTAAATAAACACGGGGTGCGTTCACGGTTAGCAGGTTAGAAGCGACCTCCCCGGCACCGTTCACAGTTTCCAACGTAGGCGTCATGGCAAAACAACTTCGCCCCAAAACAGAGAAATGAAAAAAAAAATCAAAAAATAAACATTGGTTCAACTGTTCTTTGTGATGATTAGAAAACCTCAAAATATGACGTGGTGTTTTTCTGGCATCTCGAAAACAGCTCTGGTCTGAATGCACCTTTGATTTAACCTTTACCTTTATCAATATTACTACAAATGGCACACACACACACACACACACATACACACACACACACACACACACACACTGACCAAAATATGACTGATCAAACAGAAATGTCTTGTTTCTTTTTCTATGTACTAAATCATTTCAATTCAAATTCTTTCCCTGGACACAAAACCAGATTTGGCATTTTATATCTACACTTTTTGCCTGACTGAAATATGGAAGGCCAATTATGAAGGATCCAAATAATAACATTCCCGACACAAAACACATACATTGTAGTAGTGACACACAAAATCATATACATTTTACAATAAGAAGAAAAAAAGGAGCTATAATTTATAATGTATTTTAAGATTTAGTGGTGAATAAAATTTTAGGCATAGTTAGAAACAGCACAAGTTACTAGCTCGGGACCAGTTCAGGGTGGGTGATTATTATCTTAAATGTTTAATTCAAGAATTGGATTCATTTATGAGAACGGAGTAAATGTATACCGTGAAAAGGCCGCATATATTGATAAAAGCCTTTAATAAAGCTTTTTAGGGGGATTTTCCCAAATTTTAGGAAAGAACCGTCTTCTCCACTTTTTGAGCGAATCTCTCTGGTCTCTGGTCGATTTGACCAGCAAGTATAACCAGAATGATAGACCAATAGTCTTGATGATCCATCTGGTTGTAGAAAATCTTCCTGTGTACCTTTGAGAATTGACTGAGGTTAACAACTAGGAAGCGTCCGGGGAACGCACTTTGCCCGGGGCCTGGACCAGTGTGAGTGTTGGTTCTGTAGGACCTGAGCGCCGCATTTGACACAATAGACCAGACCATTCAACTGCAGAGGCTTGAATGTGACAAAGTTCTCGGAGAAACAGAACTTGGTTGATTTAAACCCTTTTTATCAGATCAGCATTCGTTTGTTACATGAACCAAAACCCTAAATACATACGCCGCTTGTAAGGTGACAAGTACCCATCTGTTTTGTGTTATAGCCAAATACGTGTTGTTAATGGTAAAACGATGACTATGATTACAAGGGGAAAGGATATTACTTTGACTTTGATCCGTGTCAGAGTGGAGCTTTGTAGATAACCATAGAATGCCCTTGACTTAACACACAATTGTTTAAAGCTGTTAAATGGACATTCACGTCATTCGGCATCAAAACAGGGCGACCTTGTGCCAGAGAGAATGAGAAATGTTTTGACTTTTCCGGTCATCAGGGTCAGGTTTGGTCCTGAGGGAATGGGTAACAGTTACATGCTTTGATGTACCCCACGCTGAGGGGGCTAAAGGTATGACTTCAAAATAATTCAAAACATTTGTGAAGGAACATACAGTATGTAAATCAGTGACAGATGGTGTGACCTTGTTTTTCAGTGGGTATTTCAGATTAAATGGTGACAAAGCAGCGCAATTTAACACTCATCCAGGAACAATCCATGCATTGATTATATTAATGAAAAAATAAATGAAAATTGCTTGAATTTTGCAAAATGTTTTTTAAATTGAGCACAATTAAAACAAGATTTTCCAAAGGGACAACGCAAAATGATTTTGTTTTTATTTTCTTGGAATGAGGAAATACAGAAACCGTTGAAAAAAGACTAGATGTCTTTGTTCCATTGGAGAATGTTGTTCTAACACAGTCACAGTGTGTCAAATTAAGATAAAAAAATACTTGATTCAAGATATTATTAGGTCATAGTTTAATTTTTTTTGCAGTGTGGCAGAACAAGTTTCTATTAAATCTGTAAGTAAGTAAGTAACTTACTAAGTAATTACTTACTTACTTACTTACTTACTTACTTACTCTATTAAATCTGAACTAATTTAAATTGTCACCATCATTTAAACTTGTGATCAATAAGATGTCACTTGTCTTGGTTTGTTTGTCTGAGGTTTTGTAATTTTCACCTGGTTTTATGTTGAAATCTATTCATTCTCTTGTTGTTTACTTCCTGTCCTGTTGATGGTTTGACCTTTGTTAGACCCTGTGCTCCTGTCCTCTCATTGTTTTTGTTTTTTCCCCAGGTCTTGTCCCTGGTTTTAATTTTTACTTTAATGTTTAATGTTTTACTTTTCATTATATTTATTAGAGTTGACTTTTCTGCAGCTTTTTCTGCTTTTGGATACTTCCTTGTTTTACCTCAGGACAGGTTTAGCTAAAAACAAACTTCCAAAATCTTGACCACACTTTTGATGTGGTTTACTTTAACTGGACCGAGTTTTGCAGCACTTAGAATAAAAACCTATTGAATACAAAGACACAGAGCAGACTTTGTGTCCTTGGGCAAAACACGTCAATAATGCACGTCAACGCCATCGGTGCAGGTCAGAAGGTCAGAGGGGCTGATTGCGAATAATGTGTGAGTGAATGGACAATGACAGTGTAGATTTTTAAAGCAACGTACTGAACTATCAAGAGGTGAGGACATGGTACATGACTCTGAAGTTTACTATTGTTAGTTTATTCTTGAACAGAACATTCAAGAGATTTCACAGATGAGAGTGACAAAGCGTTTTACAATGTGGATGAATCGAGGAGATACTTTCTGATAAACAAAACAACTGTTGCAAAAGTGTAGAACTAATGAAGACTTATGGATTCTTTCTGAGAGACGTTTTATGTGAGTTATTTTTGAGTAATTTAGGTTTAAAGCATTACACATTAGCACCACACCTGTCCCATAAGGTCCATTAAAACAGCTCAGCCCACAATAAAAGTATGCAAACGCTGTGAATGTCAACTGTCAATTTTTTTGGACTGACTTAAACATGATTGCACTGAAAAAAAACTGGTACTTCTGAAATGTCTGTGTATGTTATGTATTACTCTGACTCAGGTACTTCCGAAATGTATTCATGTATTACGTAATTAATATATTTAGTGTATAATTTAATGATGCAATGAAGGGGGAGGTGTTTATAAATAATTTCACTTCTACCTCCTATCAAATGCATGTGTTGCTCTGAGCTCAAATAAACTGATCTGAACTTAACTGAACTAGACTGTTACTTAAGTCGTCTCCACATGACCATCATTTAGCTTATAGTTTGCATGATTTTGGGCATTTCTAACAGATGAGACATTGCAGACGGTTGCCTGGCTGCACAATCACAACAGAACCACAGCTTGCAGGAAACATTACAAAGTGTTTAATGACCTCCACTTCGAACATGCAGCCGGTCAGTCTCGTAAACGCTTCCATATGCTGCAGAGTCTGGGCCCAAGGACAAAAGTGAAAGTAAAGGACCAGGGCAACAACAATACACACTACATGCTAAAGGCCAATAGGCAAATAACATACATTCATGTGGGTAAATACATGAACACAAAGTGAAATAATATGTGAAATTTGTATTTGTAGAGTTGGGGATAATACTTTGAAACTGTATTCCGCTCCACAATACTGAAAACATGACCTAAAAAGTATTTTGTACAGTATTCCATTGCTTTGAAAATAGTACCTACATTTTCCGAATGCTTAGAATACTTTTATTGATACTTTTATTTATTGTAAATTTATGTTAATTTACAAACTTATAAAAGGTCAATTTCAAAATAGTTAAAACCACATCTTAGTAAATGTGTAATTAAATAAAATATGTATTTATTATAATTTTTGTTTTGGTAGAACAGTCAAAGTGATTCAACAGCTGAATTTAACAACAGAAAACATAGAATCTTCACTTTAAGAAATACACAATGTTTTTTTTCTTCTTTTTTTAACCTGAAAACATGATAAAGTATCTATTCTTGTGATTTTCAGAAAGTAACTAGCGGAATACGGTTACTCAGAAAGAGTACTCTGACCTTAGGGGATTACATGTATTCAGTTACTCCCCAACAGGTTTGCAATATGAATATTTAGCAGAGGAATGTGGAGATGGGTTTAAAATCAATTCTGGATGGGTTTAAAATCTGTTTTTTTAATGTAAAGGTGATTTTTTAATTTTACTTCTTTTAACGTCTCTTGTGCTATTAAAAGTAGAAGAAAACATGTCCCAGTCCTTGTTGAGTCAGGGGAAATCAACGGAAAAAAATATTTTGGGTATTTTCAATCACCGTGGCAGTGTTTTATGTATCGTTTTGTCTTTAAGTTTCTTTGAAAGAATTATATAAAATGCATTATGATATTTTTCTTCACTGATATTTCATGTTTCAAAGATTAGATAATATTCCTCTTCCTGTACAGATGCCAGTAGAGAGAGTAGAGTAGAGTAGAGTAGAGTAGAGCTCAGTAGAGTAGAGTAAAGTTAAGCTGAGTAGAGTAGAGTAGAGTACGACAAGGCACAGCGGGTGGAAATGGGGCTAAAGAGAATGAGTTTAATTTCTCCGATCCTATTTTGTAAGTAAGGCTAACAGCAGACTAGCATAGCCCTCAGACCTCAGGGACTGATAGAAAACACAGATCCTTCTCTCTGCAGCACTGTGGTATTTCCTACTGATAGCCACAGCAAATGACTTTGTTTGATGGCATCATATAAACATCAGACCTAGCTTTAGCTGAACAATAACAAAAAATAACATTCAAAACCTTTTGCTAGAGTGGCATTTATACACTCCTTATTTAGCATTAAAGACTGGAAGTCAAAGTAAGGAAGAAAAGTTCAAACAAACAAGATAGGTATGGAAACTTCTTTGTTGCTAGCACGACAACTTAGCTTCTGAAAACACAGCGATGCAGTTACTCTTGATAATATTTTGCTGGAACTCGGATATATTGGTTCACAATGATTGTGTAAAATAAAAGCAAATCACAAAGATAGACTTTGTAACAAGTCAAAGTAATTTGAGCTCATCACAAAACTGAAAAGTCATGCATGCGTCTAACAACAAACAATGAAGCCATTGTTATGAACAGACTAGCTTGATGCTAGCTTGATGCTAGCTTGATGCTAGCTTGATGCTAGCTTGATGCTAGCTTGACACAGACATAGCATAGCACTACGATAGAACTTGTGTTTGTTTCGTTCACACAAACTTGCTTGAACATGAAATGTTTAAGGTTCAGGTCTTTTTGAGAGTGTTTGACCTTTCTCTGACAGCTTCTGGTTCAATTACTTGAGTCTATTTTACTTAAAAGGGTCAAGATTAGACAAAAACTTGCCTCCAGGGACAGACCAGTCATGCATGTGAGACTACCGGGCAAAACACGTTTAAGACACTGATTTTTGAGTGAATATGTTTTCATATTCTCAGTACTAGTTTACAATGACTGCATACTAAAACAGACATACTAGATTCCCAGTGCTATTAATCAGCTGTTCCAATAATAAACAGCCATTAGTCCTATTCCTCTGACTCAGAATTTCTGCTTCAAAAGCAAAGATTCATCACCATCAGACTCCTCCAGACCTCAGGGTGAAAGCTGTAGAAGTTTTGGCCTCTCTTGGTCACAGGCTGGTTTCAGAACAAGTCTTTTCATTCTTATGTAATCATTGCCATTTGAATAGTCCAACTTTATGCAACCACTTCTGCGTTTGTAAATAGGCTGCACTGTAGATTTTTTCTTCTTCACACTTCTTAGAAAGAGGCCACTGAGACAATATCAGTATTATTCATTTATTTATGTATTTGATCAGGGACACTTTGGTTTGAGAATTCCACTTTATTTCACTTTTCTGTCGGATAAAGCTGATCTAAAAATGTGACGAAGGCCAGAACACGTATGAAAACTAAAAATAGAACTAAACTGTTTTGAGTTTTGTTATACACGCTGTAAAAAGTGATGAAAAATGGCTCAGATTAAGACAAAAAACACTTGATTCGAGCCATTATTCAGTTGTCACATTGTAGATCATTCAGTATTTTAGGGACCCCAGCTTTAACCATTTGTAAATTCAGGATGTTTTGACTTTTACAGTAACAGTCCGACAGAGACGAACCATCGAGTCGCATCCTATTTTGCTTTTTTGGTTTCCCAGCAACAGCACACAGTATGAAAAGGTGAGTTTGTGACATCACTCTGCCCACTGCTCATGTCTAAGAGTCTGATTTTGACGTTTCTCTCCTCCCTCTCTCTCCCCGCACTAACTTTTTCTTGTCTTTTTTTTCCCCTTTTCTTTTCCAGAGCAAGTGGGAGGAGGAAGAGGAGAGGTGCCAGAAGTCCAGGATTTTGGGGAAGTCTGTCCCATCCCAGACTTGAACCGTGCGCCACAGAGCTCTGGGTAGGCTACAGGAGGGCGTTTTTTTTGATCCTCTCAAAACTTCCAAACTTCAAAACGCCCTCCCCTCTCCCTTCTCTTCTCTTCTCCTCTCCGGACCCCATACCCTCCGCTTGCCTTCCCACTTGCTCAGCTATCTTTTGGGACACTACATCTGGATGATAATGACATAAAAGTACATTTTGCAAACATTTGACTTTTCTTCATATACAGTGGACTATTTCTACTTGCACTTAAAGGGTAAGTCCAAACTACTTTTTCCATCTTAAATCCTCTTTGCAAAACATTTTATTCTAATTGCAGGCTGTTAAAACTTGACCCTGTATGCACTGTGGGTTTTAGATTAAGATTAAAATATCGGTTGTTTGTCCCACAGTGGGGATATTTCAGGTATTACTTTGACAAAACAGGCCAAACTTAGCAAAATGTATTCTAATTTGAGCACATTTTGACTGTCTTAAAACAAGATTTACCAACGAGACAAAGCAAAATTATTGTTTTTTTTTAAAGATGCAGAAATGTCTCCTTTGGAGTGAGGAAATAAAGCAGCAGGACCAAATTAAGACTCGATTCAGGCATTTATCACCTCATGTTTGATCATTTTTTGCAGTGTAAAAAGCTCCAAAGTAATATCAAAAGTGCTTCTTCCTAAATGTGTTAATGGAACGATATTTACTGCCGTAAGCCTTGTATAAAAAGTGAGAAACTAAACACATAACAGAGTCCCCTGAGTGCATGGGTCTAACATTTCCAAGCCTATCTGATGAATTGCAAACATATTGTCAGGTTTTTGACTTGAAGAATTTCTGTTTTGATCCACATTGCTCACTGGAGAACGTGCTCGTCCCAATTTGAAAACCAGTATGCTTAAGTATGGTGTTGTAATGAGACGTTTGCAAAGGAGTTTCGCTCATAAATATCGGACGGCGCGGGTTGAGCTGACAGAAACCTGCACTTAAGTGGTCACGAAGGCTGCGAGGGCAAGAGGTGAGGCGCAGTTTCAGAACGCTCCCTGGAGTCTGAGCGATGTGGAGAGGGGCGTGTGCCGGGGCCTTTCTCTGCAGCTGTAGCATCTCTCTCATTCATTCATAGAGTTAACGCTGAGGCAGTGTGTAGTCGGATGTAGTGGAGAGAAACAGTCTAAAGAAGGAAGTAAAGAAACAGTCTAAAGTAAAAAGAAACAGTCAAAGTAGAAAGGAGAAAATAACAGTCTAAAATAGAAAGTAGTAGAATGTAACAGTTTATAAGTAGAAAGTATTTGAAAGAAACACTCTAAAGTATTAAGTAGTAGAAAGAAAAAGTCTGAGAGAAGTCTAAATTAGTAAAAAGTAATAGAAAGAAACAGTTCATAGTAGAAAGTAATAGAAAGAAACAGTCTAAAGTAGAAAGTAGTAGAAAATAACAGTATAAAATAGTAAGTAGTAGAAAGAAAATCTAAATTAGAGCAAGAAAGAAACAGTCCATAGTAGAAATAAGCTGAAAGAAACAGTCTGAAGTAGAAGAAAGATACAGTCTAAAGTATAAAGTAGTAGAAAGATACAGTCTAAATGAGAAAGATACAGTTTATACTTTCTAGAGAAGAAAGTAGTAGAAAGAATCCTCAAGTCATCCAAGATTTAGCAGCCACTTTTTTTTTTTTGCTTTCTTGTATTTGAAACATAGCTAATTGTTGTTACTTATGTAGTGGTAGGTCATTTCTTTGGTCATTAAATATCTGTGACATCACAGTGTTGTGTAGCTTACAATAGAGAAATGCTGGAGAAATGTGTGTAGAACGCGTTGAAGTCGAGTTTGGTTGAAGCAGTTTCAGAGCATCAAGTTTAAGTTTGTTTTGGTCCTTATTCTGTTTTTAGATACTTATGGCATTATCTTTTAAGTCAAGTAATGGGCTGCATTGAAATATTTTGTATCCCATAAATATGCATCAAAAGAGAATGTCTGTGGTGTTCAGGGACTGCTGAGGCTCTTTTGTGGTAAACGTTTGCACAATTTGAGGGTTTGTCAGATTTTTCAATGGATAAACAGAAAAATTAACAAAAAATAATCTCATTCTGTAGAGGCTAAATCCTGAAAACATCTGAAGTTTATTTGTATGCCACAGTTCATACACAAGGCAACTCAAAGTGCTGAACAAAATAGGCTTTAAAATCATACACACTGCAGTAAAAAGAAGAAAAAACAGTCAGTTGTAGCAAAGCTAACCTGAAATATTTTAACCTGGATTTAAACATTGTCAGAGTAGAAGCCTGTCTAACATTTTCGGGAAGACTGCTCCAGATGTTAGCTGCTTAAATCTGAAACGCTGCCTCTGGATGTTTTGTCCTGCATGACTCTGGGGCCAGCAGGAGGCCAGTCCCTGTGCTCCTCAGAGTCCCAGCAAAAGGCCAGTCCCTGTGCTCCTCAGAGTCCCAGCAGGGGGCCAGTCCCTGTGCTGCGAGGCCATGAAGAGACTTAGACACAAACAGAGCTGCAGCTTCCACATAAAACAGTATAATTCAATGATGCCAAATGTTACTGCTTGGGACTGTTAAATCTTTCCATGTAATTCTGCCAGTATTAATAACCCCTCTCTGCTCATGCATCAATACTACAGGTCATTCACATTGATTCTAGTTAGATTTATAAACCCACCTCTGCTCTGACAACAGCTCGGCCCCATGTGCTCATATTTCCGCTGCAGCAGTAGCCCCCACGCAGAAGCCACACCCTCAATGGAACGAATGGAAAGAGGATTTTTTACTAAGAAAGGCTTTTCCACAATGAGGGCCAGAGGAACCAGGGGGAGGTGTGTGGTGTGGTGGGGATGGGGGGTGGGGGGCAGTGATTGGAGGCGGGCGGAGGGGTCGGTCTCTTTGGGTCTGGAGTCCAGGTGGAGGCTATTAATCTTCCACCTCCGAGTACATGGTTTTAGAGGAGGCTGTTGGAATTCGTCCGTCATCGCGGCAGTCCGGATAGATAGGAAAATGAAGCCGTTACAGCCTAATGAAATTACGCTCGAGTTTCCATAATGGGGAACATCTTTCATATAGTTTCGGAAAACACTGTTGCCAAGAAGGGATCGAATGTAATGTGCCGTGGATGGATTTGTTTCATGTTTTATTGAATGATCTTATAGCTTTGAAGGTCCAGAAGTCAATGATGTATGGAGATGGTATGTCTATGGATGGAACTGACACAACAGACCCCAGAACTGACCCCAGAACAGTCCCCAGAACAGACCCCAGACTGAGCAGTTAGACTTCATTTCTAACCATAGAGCCAATTCAGAGCTGCAGCCTGGAGAAACCATCTCTTGTTCCCATACGTTTTTAGTTGTGTTAAAGAAATAACACAAGAAGAATAGATATTGTGCGTTACTTTTGTTGATTTTAATGATAATGAGGCAATTTACTTTGTCATCTCATGTTTTTGAATGTGAAATAAAGCTATGCAGGAGGATTTGGGTGGCACGGTCGCTGAGTGAGTAGCACTCTCGCAGCAAGAAGGTTCTGGGTTCGAATGCCGGTCGGAACAGGCCCCTTGCATGGGAGGGGAGTTTGCATGTTCTCCCCGTGTCTGCGTAGGTTTCTTCCGGGTACTCCGGTTTCCCCTACCACTAAAAAATGTGCAATAGTTCAGGGTGAATGAGTGTGTGTTTGTGAGTGCGAATGTGGGACAACGGATGCAAATTAGCTCAAGGCTACAATCCGGAGTGATGTGTTCATGAACATGTACTGTCCCAACCAAATAAACAATAAATGAAAAAAATAAAATAAAAAATGTGTACTTCCGGCTGGATCATCAAGATTATTGGTCCTCCCATTTGTCAATCATTCTGGTGACAAATAAGACCAGAGAGTTTTGTTCAAAAAGTGAAAAGGCCGGTTCTTTCTTTCTAAAATTTGGGAAAATTCATCTTTCTACCTTTAGTAGGACATATTTCAGGAAACGAACATCAGGGATTTCCACTTGCAGCTCCATTTGTCAGTGTTTCTCAACCAGGGCTACACAGACTAAGATATACAGTAGGTTAAAGTGGGCTACTATGACACGTTATACATTATTTTAAAGCTAATTCCACACAAAATATTCTATTCTAAACATTGTACCTACAACACAATAACAATAATAATAAGTCTATCAGAGGGAAACAAGCCTTTCTTACTTTTAGTCCAGTTTTGCTTTGATCAGAAAACTTTAAAACTCAAAAACTACACAATATAAACACATACAGTGAATGCAAAAGAGGAGTTATAGGAAAACTTTGGAGACATAGATATAGAGATCTTTATATGACAGTAAAGCTTAAAAACAGTTGTGGCCCCGGACCAGAATGAGTTTGACCCCTTGGATACAAAACCCCCCCTCGTTTTTCTTGCCCTGTCTCCGCTGGTTTGATGTGCACAGGGTGAAAACAGTTGGGGACCACCAGAGGGAGAAATGTATTCAAAACTAATCTAGTTTGGTTTCAAAAAGGCAGACAAATAATCTGAGTGTGATGTCATAGTGGTACAATGATGTCATACTCCGACAGTAGTATGCAGGCAGTTTAGTTTATACCTAAATCACAGCCGCAGTTGTTTCAAAGGACTTTATACAGAGTTGTCAATTCACCAGTGAAAGATCAGAGGATCAAACAGTTTGTGAGTTCAATCAATCAACATTTATTTGTGTAGCACAGTTCATACCCAATGTGCTTCATGTGTACAACCTTTAAAAGACACTGTAAAGAAAAAAAATACACATGCATTCTGTGCTATAAATTACTAATATCAGCGTGGATCTAAAAACAACTCCAGGTCTGTTTTTGAAGATAGACAATGATGTAAAAAGAGTTAAAAGTTGTAAAAAAAGAAGTTGATTTTTGTCTCATATGTCTCTATGACTGTGGCTCTGTTCAAAGACTGTTCTGGAGAATCTCCATTAGTCAAATTCCTCTCTGAGAACTCGGTAGAATTGCTGTATATAAATCAGTCTTTTATCTTTCGTCCAGCTTTGCTTATCATGATGCAGCGCAGATGTCTTCAAGGTTGAGACACATTTTAGGAGGATTTAGTCTGAAAACTGCATGTTCTCTCCAACCGACCAGTGACTACGTTTTTCAGTTTGAGCCCGAGGCCATTTCCTGTAATTTTTGCTGGTTCTGTCAAAAGGTATAAGCCAAATCCAATCAATAATGTCAGCAAATTAGCAACATATAGTAATGATAATAATAATAATAATAAATCTTATATATTTGTAGCACTTAAAATATAGGAAAA